TACTTCGTCCTATTTATGATAGTGATCTAGACAAAGATAAGAATGATGACCTATTTCTGAAACCGGGCCTAACTCTGTGGTTATCAGGTAAAAATTTAAGGAGTGATCAGTTTCCACCCCATTTGAGCTAGATTCAGTTTTCTAGTTGGTACTGTAATTGTACAAAAAATTTTTATATGATCAAAGATGTTTAGCAATTTCAAGGATCAAGCGATTAAAAGAATCTAGGTAGTTTAATATGGTCAGGAGTCTTGAACGTAACTGGTTCACTTGTAATGGATAAGTCTTCGGAGTCTGGTATATTAATATTCTGTTTAACAGAACAGTAAATTCTTATATCTTATCTTCCTTTAAGGAGGCCGATTAAGCAAGGTTACAACTAATCCTTATTCACTAACCAATTCGTGTAGATAGCGGAACTAGATGAACCTACAAAACAGTTTGTCCCAACATATACAGCAAGTTTCAATGAGCCGGAACCACTAAAAGTGCCATACACACAACAACTAAAAAAGAACTTTTTTTAAATGAAGCATGTATTACACAGAAATGTGACTGCAAGATTTGAGAAAACACATCAAATATTATACAACTGACAACCTTACCTGATATCAATTGCCATTACATCAGGGTTGCTTCTTGCAGGTGGAAGGGTATAGTTTGGTGAAAAGACCTGATTGAAGAAAAATAACATCTCAATTTTCACTTGAGGCTAGATAAATATCTTCTAATTACAGCGGAAGTGTTTAAAATTTACCAACCTTATTACAGATTTCACAGGTTATGTCACCTTTTTTGTTGCACCATCTCTGTATACATTTCCTATGAGCAAACTGCAGGTCCAATATGACACAATTTCAGTTCTTAGCTTTTCAATCTAATGGTGTACTTAAGAAATCTTGAAAGTAAAGGTAAAAATGCAGCATTAACAAGCTCTATAAATTCAATTTGAACATAAGTATTATGATTTGTAACAGCTTGAGCCAGTCCAAAGAGACATTGAAAATGATCATTCAAACGTGGTATCTTATTTTCAAAAGCATTTAAAGTGGCTCAAAAACTGAAGCTAAAATAACTGCCTGTAATCCACAGGTGGAATCCAGAATAACTGAAAGAGCATTTAACTAACAACATTATGACATTTGAAAACTAATATAAATTCCCTTAAAAAGTAATTAAATCGCAATATAACCCCTAAAACTTATTTAGAGGGTGGACATAAGAATTGTGAAATTTTAGAAAAAGGTGAAAAAATTTCAAGTTGAAAATGGTATTTGAAAATTAGAGTTGTGTTCGGACATGAATATAATTTGTAGTTGTTTTTGAATTTTTGTGAGTGCTTTCATGTGAAAATTTTGAAAAATAACTTTCAAGTTCCGATAAATTTCCAAAATTTAACTTCAAGAATCTTTTTTTATGGCCAAACATACCCTTAATCACAAGAGTTACAATTACAATTACAAATGTTAATGATTAACTGTGGTTAGGTAACAAACTTTTGGTTAAAAGACTCTTGTCATACATTTACTGTTTGGTGCACATTTTCTGCTGCAGGTAAGTTTTCTCTTCAAAGAGAATAGAATTTTCAAAATCCACATTTAATGAAAAGGTTTGTAAAATAGTAAAGTTTGGTGATCAAGCACAATTATTGATTTATTTCCAGATAAGAACAAAAATAACTCCTAAAGTTGCAGAGCATACAGCATTCCTCATGTGAAAAATCAAAAAGAAATCTACAAACTCCAAAAAAAAAAAAAAGAATTTGGTTACAAGAAGTTGGATTTGTTAAAAAGGTTTTATGGGTTAGTGCAATTCGTTTGACATTTTATATGATTTATATAGGGAGTTGCTAAAAGTTAATTAAACAAATAAAAGAAGAAAATTGAAGTCTTCCATAAAGACATAAAAAGCATCAATCTTTTATTTTTATATTACATAGACTAACAAACCAAGGAAAGAGAAAGAAATTTTTTGTACTCATTTGAAATAAATCAAGATGAGGAAAGAGAAGAAACAAGACACATTTCTCAAGCTAAAGCAAAGGCAAAAGTGGTAGCAAAAACTTAAACTTGTTACCAAAAATTTTCAAATATAAGAAAAAATTCAAAAGAAAATTTAAAGCAACCCCAGAAAGGGAAGAAGAATAGAAATAAAAAGGGTAGCAAAAACTGACTGTTACAACCAAAATAATTTCAACTTTAAGAAACAAATTTAAAAGAAAAAAACTAAAATAACAAAAAGAAAAAGAAAAGAGTAGAAAGAAAGCACATTTCCTAAGCCAACCCAAGAAAGAAAATAAAAAACTGAAATTTATAAAAAAGATTTCAACTTTAAGAAAAAAATTTAAAATTTAAGGCAACCCCAGAAAGAAATTTGAACCTTGAGAGTGCCATTGCAAGCACAAGGAGCTTCCATATCATTTTCTTCATCTTCTTCTTGACAAATTCTACACTCTCTAATTACACTTCCCTTTGAACAACCCTCCCCTCCACTCGTCATTTCCCTTGAATTATTTTCAACACTCAAATTTGCAACATCATTATTAGTCAAAAGGCTAATTTCTCTCCCATTGACGACTGACTCTGACTCTCCAAAACATGTTGTTGCTATTATGATCCTATCCACACACACCATGAACTCATCCACCATTTTCTCTCTCTCTCTAAAAAATATTTCTCTCTCTCTCTAAAAAATATTTCTCTCTCTAGACGATATAGGAGGAAGGAGAAAACAATGTTCAGAGATGAAAGAAGCTGGAGCAAGTAGTAGTAGGAGAGCGAGAAAAAGGAGAGAGTGGGGAATAAAAAGGTGGAGTTTTTCAAGTTTGCGGGTTTTACTATATAGGGGCTTCTTGTTATATGAATGCACAATTGTGCCCCTCTGACTAATAAGTGTATTTTGCAATTAAAAATAATGGTTTACAACTTGTTTGGAGGGTTGTTACCTATTGTATTGTATTGTTATGTTACTTTAAATATAATATTTGTTTTGATTGTTACTTGTATTTTATAATATCGTATCGTTAAATTTATCGTTACGTAACAATAAAAAGTGACACTTTATGGAACGGTAGAATTTGTGTGATGGCATCATTTTCTTGCTTTTTTTTCTTTCATCTTGTCTTTTCTTATTATTAAATAATCATATTTTATCCTTTAACTTACTTTTTTATATTAAATTCTACTCTGTATTTATTTTTTCTTAGTAGTGTTGCAAGTTTATTCTTCATATTGTTGAAGTGTGACATCATGAAACGGCGGCAAACGATACAATATATTCAAACGTTGTATTCATCAAACAATACAATATAATGCAGTACAATATAATACGATACATTATGAAACGATACGTAATAATAATCCAAACAAACTCTTAAAGGCAAAATAAATACTCGTCTTGAACTAGTCGTTGGTTTTTGATTTATTACTCTGTATATGGTGTCTGTTTTGTGGGTCGATTAAATTGAGTTCAAGTTAGACCTATTAAAGAAGAAAACCTTTTACAATTTTTTTTTTAATTTTAATTACTTGGACTTGAGATTTCTGATTAAGGACATCGGGATCATATCAATCCCGGTGGAAGTAGACAACTAAGGGGTCATTTGGTATGAGGTATAAAAAGGTATAAAGGTGGTATAAAAATTTAATATCACGTTACTACTGTGTTTGGTTAGCAAACCGGGTATAAATTATCCAGTGTTAATTTTAATACTGGGATAACTTATACCTTATAGAAGGTGGGATAATTAGCACCGGTATAACTTATACCTTCTTATTAGAAACTATGCAATTGTCATTCTTAATACAACATATCAAATAATAAATAAACAACAATCACGGCATAACTAATCCCAACATAACTTATCCCAATATAACTTATACATGTATAAATCATATTCCAACCAAGTGACCCCTAAGGGGTCGTTTGGTATGAGGTATAAGAAGGTATAAGGGTGGTATAAAAATTTAATACCACCTTAATACTCTGTTTGGTTAGCAAACCAGGTATAAGTTATCCTGGTGTTAATTTTAACACCGAGATAACTTATACCTTATAGAAGGTGGGGTAATTAGCTCCGGTATAACTTATACCTTATTTTTAATTAGAAACTATGCAATTGTCATTCTTAATACAACATACCAAACAATGAATAACAACAATACCATCATAACTAATCCCAACATAACTTATCTTAATATAACTTATACCGACATAACTTATACCGGTATAAATCGTATTCCAACCAAGTATTCATGGATTGATTCGATATAGCTTTGAAATTTTTTGATCTGATATCTTTTGGTATTTTATTTTTGAAAATATTATACTAAAATCAAACCTAATTTGGTACTAATTGATCTTTCTCTTTTTTGGTTTCATTTTTTATAACTCCAGTATATTCAATTTTTACCGAATTGAAGTTCCTGATTATCTTCAATTTTTACCGAATTGTGAACCCACTTTTGAAGTGGTATATTATTATATATTCCACAATCTGCAGTTTATTGTTATGTATGTATGTATATAGTTGTGATTTTGGATGGTAAATTCAGTGTTTGCGTTTTAAGGAATAAATTATAAAAATTTTGTTAGACTTATAGAATATCTTTTATATGATTCATTTTGGATGTAATTTAATTTTTAAATTTGTGGAGCTTACATTCCTGTCTTGTGATAGATAAAATATCTCATGATGAACCTTTGCTTTAGAAAGGACTGATGATATGTTTGAAAAGTCACGTAAGAATTTTGAGTTGTCTAGTTTGTTTGTTCATGTAATTCTTTGGTTAATCCTAAATTTACTGTAACTGAAAGAGTGTAATTCTTCATTTCTAAAGGGATTATCATGAAAAAGTTTCTAAGAAAATTATAAATTATTGGTAATTACATGATATTCCATACAAAAAGTGACTTTTCTTCCTTTTTCCTTTTTAAAATTAAATTATTCTTTAATAGAACTCCTACTTTAGTATTGCATATAATGTTTTATTATGAGAATGACTTGTTCAAAATAATTTTATATTTGAATAACTTTGTTTTCTACTAATTATTGTCAATATTTACGTGTAGAGTCGTCAAAATGGGCTCAGCCCACGAGGCCACCGCAATCCAGCCCGCTATTAAGGTAGGGTTGGGCTAAGATATTTTCAGCAAATTTTATAACTGAGGCTAAGAAGTCCGACCCAAGTTAGCCCGCGGCCCTTGAGGCTTGGCTGAGGCTGGCCCGTGGGTCAATAATTTATTTAATTCGAATTTAAATTTAAAAAAAAAGGAAATAAAGATTTAGAATGGGCTAAAGACGTAAGTCTTGCACCCTAATCATAAACTTTTCTTCCTCAATAGTCAACATACTACCGCAATTCTCTGCCTACCTCCCCTCAATCCTCAATTCTTTATCGCTACCTCTTTCCTGATCTTCGGTATCGACGACTTACTACAAGGTAATTAATTTTTTTTTCTCTGGAGTTTACTAATCTTACTATCTTACAAATAAATAAGTTTAATATTTGGACTATTTAATCCATTATGTACTTGACTAATGATCTGTTTGCTTCATATTTTATTCACATGCATATATATATTTCTCTATTTTACTTTGGGTTTATGTCTCTTCTATATGCATCTATTTATGTATATGGATCATATTTTGGCTTTTATTGGTATGTTTTCAAGTCTTTTCCATTTCTTTATTAGTCATCTTATCTTGATTCTTGAAGCTTCATTAACCATTTGAAAATAAAATTATCTTATAAAAAAAGACTAAAAAGAAAGGGATGGCCCGTCCTAGCCTGTGGCCCTCTTAGGGCTGGATTGGGCTAGCCATTTTAAGGCCCTTTTGCATGAAGGGTCAGCCCGTCCTAGCCCATCAACTTTCGTGGCCCACAAGAGTTGGGTTGGGCCGACCCGCTTTGACAACTCTACTTACTTGTTATATTAAAACCATGCCTTGAGGGTGTGATTGGTACGAAGGAAGATATTTTTCTGAAAAAATGAATAGTTTTATCACTTATTTTCGACAGAAATGTTTAGGACCCTCTTAAATTTGACAACTTTTATTTAGTTTCCCCTTAAATTTCACGTAGTCGTTAATACCCCTAAATTTGAAAATTTGATTCTCTTGACCGCCCTTAGATGTTGATGTGGGAAACAACGTGAATACACTCTCTTTTAGGCGCGTGGGAGGGATGAAAAATCGAAATCAGCTTCCAAGTGAGGTATTTTTTAAATTTAATTGTCACATAATCAAATATAGTGATTTATTTGTTCCAACTGTATTTCTCGTTATTTATTCTTAATATACATTATTTATTTTTTTATCCCAATTGTATTTTTTTAGATACAATGAATATATATTTCAACTATATATTTCTTATCTTTTTCCGATCGAAATTTACAAAAGTTAGTTGAAACTCCATTTATTTTATCCAAATAAAAAGAAGATTTAGCAAAATAATAAAGTCCAAATGGTGTATTTTCTCCAAAAAGAAAAAAAAATATTGTGTATTTTTATTTTTATTTTCATGCAATGATTATTTATTTAAACTATGTATTTTTTCTTTTTCGAGTCAAATTCGCAAATATTTGGTCAAAAGTTTACTAGTATTCTTAGCTAAAATATTTATTTAGCCAATATATGGAGTTCCAACAACATATTTTTTATTTTTTAGATGCAATAATAATATGTTCTAATTGTGTATTCCTTCTTTTCTTGACCAAATATGTAAAAATAACTTGATTAAAATATTATTATTTTTTAGCCAAATAGAAAATTCTAATCAAAATAACAATGTTTCAAACAGAAATTATACATATTTTGGCACGAAAAAACTGATTAAAACGATTGGTGGACTTAAAAGGATAAAAATATATATATTTATTGTAAAAAAAGGCCACATGGACAAAACAATTCATGTGGCATCGCGTGTGTGACGACCCAAATGGGTCATCACCTGTTTTCTTATCCATTCTGTGCTTCAGAGGCCTTGAAAACCTCATTTAGAGTCGCTTCGATTTGCGTGCACAGTCCGGGCGCGTAGCCGAAAAGCTTAAATATGAAATTTTGTGAAAAATGCTAAGTTGTGGTGTTAAAATGAATAAGTTTGACTTTGGTCAATATTTTGGGCAAACGGACCCGGACCTGTGATTTGACGGTCTCGGAGGGTCCGTAGGAAAATATGGGACGTGGGCATATATCCGGAATCGAATTTCGAGGTCCCAAGCCCAAGAAATGAATTTTTAAGTAAAATTGTATTTTGAAAATGTTTAAGGAAATTGGAAATGAAATCTGATTAGAAAGCGATGGTATTAGGCCCGTATTTTGGTTCCGGCGCCTGGTACAGGTCTTATATATGTTTTAAGTTCTTTCTATAAAATTTGGTTGAAATCGGACGTCATTTGACGTGTTTCGGACTTGAAATCCTAAATTTGAAACTTGATGAAGTTTTTGGAAAAATTCTTGATTTTGAGGTTTGATTCATTGTTTTGAGGTTATTTAGGCGACTTGATCGCACGGATAAGTTCGTATGATGTTGTTGAGTTAGTACATGTGTTTAGTTAGGAGCCCTGAGAGCTCGGGAGTATTTCGGAATGGTTTTAGCCTTGTAAAAGTTGTAGGTTTTCTGCAGTCAGTGCACAGGGAATTTGTTCTTCGCGTTCGCGTGGTCCCACTCGCGAACGCGTAAGGCAAAGATCCCAGGTGACCAGTTTCTTCATCGCGAACGCGAGCTTTGGGATGCGAATGCGAAGCTGAGGGGGGAAACCCTTCGCGAACGCGACTCTACATTTGAGAACGCGTAG